TAATTTATTATCACAATTGTATTTATATAATAATAATAATATATTGTGATATTTGTATCCATTTAAATCAAATCTTAGTCGATTACGGATCCCGGGAAAAAAATTATAAATACCTAATAAATGAAACAAGAAAAATTAAAAATGTATTACATAATTATGTTTAGATACATATTATTACTGCACTAGATCAGTCCAATCCATGAATTTAATATTATTCTACGGTTACATAAACAAGCGATTATCTATGTTACAAATATTATGATAGTAATAATATGGTTATATTTTATTGTATCGTCCATGTATGAAAATTGCCTATTCCGAAAGCCGTGTTAAAAATAATCAGTATAAATTAAAATTAAACTTAATAGTAACTTCAATGTTTTGTAGATAATAAAAATTATATCAAATGGTTTAATTTTAGTTCAAGGTGAATGTAGTGTGTGTGCTCTTGTTTATTATTTATTATTTATTATTACTATTTATGCAGTATAAAGATTTACTCTCGGAATTTCGAATGTAATAATTTTCTATAATTTAATATTATAATATTGTGGAATATTGTAGTATACAACGTTATTGGGTTTTTTGTTTCGATTCGATAATTTTATTTATTTGAAAAAAATTGATAACATATATAATAAATACAATAAAATAAATCTACCTTTAAGCTAATAGGTAGTGGTGAAGTAAAGAATTCTGGTTGTTTGATGGAAATCGTTCATATTATCCAAAACAAAATTATCTGTCGTAAAATTATTATTTTTTCTTCTTACTTAATATTATATTCAACAGCCATTGCATGAAAATCCATGCGATCTTCAGAATATAAAATAATAACGATCAGGAAATCAAAATCTTGGCATTGTATAATATATCAATCATGAGTCCGTAGTCTGTTTAATGTTTAATGCCATCGTTTGGTGACTAGTCACTGCTGCACATTATCTGCGGATATGCAGTAAAATAATATAAAATAAAGCGATTTAAATGAGATAAAAATACATATGTAATAATTACATAATATTATAAACAGTAAGTGCAATAATATTGTTGTTTTTTATATAAAAAAATATGGATAAACATTTTAATGATATTATTTTGGACAAAATATGTCTATTTCCATAATATATTTCTTAATACATCATAAAATATAAAGTTTTTTTGTTAGTTGTATTTAAACACGACATTTAATACTATTTTTTATTAATATCATCATTATGTATGTTATTATCAAAAACTTCCAGTTAAAAAATACCCTACGCAGTACTTAAATTTTAGGTAGGTATTAGATATAATATATTATATTATAATAACTAGAAAGACATATTATTTTTAATTGTAATAATATGTATAATTAGTCATTTTCGTTGAACAATTTGTACACAACAATATTTATATAACGGGTTTAATTATTTTTTTTGTTTTATTTAACAATAGAAAGAAAGTATATAATATTATGTTCTTAACATGCTATATTCTGTTGCTTATTTTAGAAGAAGATCTCTATAAGACATCTGTTATTATCTCATAAGTCATATTACACTTTCAGTGATTATTTCAACATTCTATCGACTACAGCTCACGTATTCATATCCACGATAAACAACTCTTGGTTTACCTGTGTTTATTGTCGAAGTCAAAATTAATTTTACTTCCTTGAAAGTTGAACGTTGCAGACATTTTGCTTTATTGTCATTATACAAAAGTGGCAATACAACACTAGGTATAAAAAATGTATAGTAAATATATTATCTACAATACATCATTTTCTTGAACGGCACAGCGATTTGTCTTCAAATAGATATTTTAAAATAATTATCTTCGAACAATTCAAACCAGAGCTTTATCGTACATAGGTACTTCAGTACTTGTATTAAGTAGTATTTTTTTTAATATTTTTAATTGACATAAGCAATCAATACAAATTAGCACAATAAGTTTATATGATTAGAGTAGTATATGACATGAAAGGTATGATTAAAGTAACAACCTATTAGTGATTCTTGGCTAGTCGATTAATTTTTTATAATTATCATATATACATATTTTTAATATTTTTTAGTGGCGTTATATATTAAAGTTTTTCTGTCCGTTTTAACCTGCGATTAGGATTCTTGGGACTTGGGAGTGTAAGGATGTAAAATAAAGTGTAGGTATTTTGAAAAGTAATTTTGAGCAAAAATTTAGATCGATAGGTACTCTATTTAAAGTTAAATTTAATAATTTCTATCTATCTAATATGATAATATATGTTGTACAAAAAACCTTAGTATCATTAATTATCATAACAGTTATTATATAGGTACGTATTGTTATCGTAAGCCATGCTTTGCGTGCGTTATTGAATGATTATATTTTGCTGACTCAAATTGAAACATAAACACAACTCCGCTAAAAAAAAAACCTTCACACCTACTATACTATAATAGCTGTTTGTTTGGAGGTTCTGTTATTTTGATAAAAACTGTTCGTCATTGGGCATTTATGTTGTGAAAAAATGCGATCCTTATGCATTATGATTTATACTTTTATCATTGGTATATTATAATATATAGGTGTAGAGTAAGACGTAGGTATACAATCCTATATATATTCAAATTCGTTCAATCTTTTGTCAATTTAGCACTTGCGCCGCTACCGACAAACGGGTCAATGTCATCTGCCTTTTTTTTTTGTTATGGCACACGTCAATATTACCGCTGTAGTAAGATTTCAATAAGAAATTGAGTAATTATACTTAATTATTATTATTATTATTACTATTATTATTGTTGTCATTATATACTCGGTATCGCCACAGCTTGATGTTTGTGTGCGTTTAAGGCAACCGCATAATAATATATATCTATCAGAAGACGCTTGATGTTTATGTAGGTACAGCGTGATGCTGGAGGGGCGGTTACCTAAATCGCCGAACGATTTTCGAGAATGATTTACGACGTTGTCGATTGTGTAACAAGTCTCGTCTTTAAAAAAAAAAAAAAACAATCCATGTAACTTTCACCGCCTAAGTTGGTCCACGCGTTGGCAACTGCGGCAGAGGTAGCCAACGGGAACTGCTATAGGTACACACACACACACACACACACACACACACACACACATTAGTCACTGCTTATGTTATCTTATTGCGTACGGTTTTACTTTTTATAAACATTACTATCCGCAATCGAACATTATATAGCATTGACTTACGTATAACAAGTTGTATATAACCGACTCTGGCGCACGCCGTCTTGAGAAGGATAATTATTTGGAAGGTGAAAACAAAATATGTGATCTTTTATAAATTATTGACAAACTCTATATTATCGCAGACGACGTCATGTACTTATGTAACAACTTACAGCGTGCATTATAATAATATACTATAGGTAATCGTTATTCGGTATAATATAGGTAATATTAATATACATATACCTATATTTTATGATTTTTAATTTTAATTTTTACTCGTCCACTGCTGTTATATACATGATGAGTGATAGCAATCACATTTTTGTCTTACCGATTTAATGTGATTTGTATGCTTATAGATACACATATCGAATAAAGTATGTAATTATAAAGTAGTTACCAATAATACAGTTTACAATATTTTAAAATAGTATAAACGAACTCAAATTTAGTAAAATACATACTGGGCAATGGACTATGAATTAAAAAATTAAATGGACCTATTAATCAGCAGAGTAGATCAACATTTGTATTTTAGGTTTATACTATAATATATAGTAATATAGAAATATAGCATACAAAATACAATAATAGTGAGCTCCCAATTCACACAATAAACCTTATAGTATTCCTTAACGGCTTAACTAATAACTAATTAATTTATAGGTATAATGTAATATTATATGTGTCATTGTTAAAGGTGTATTTTGTAATCCTTGTGGTAAATCAATATTTGCAAATCATTGCCAACGGTCACTGCGGCCAAGGTATCTAAAAAAAAAAAAACAATAAAAATAAAATATTGTTAGTCTTAGAAATTTCTATTAAATAAAATGTATAATAATATCTTTAAGCAACTAAAATGTTTACAATTATTTAATGCACGATATTGCAATATTTAATATATATTATCTTGTAGTACAACTCTCATTTCACTTGGGTTAAAAATTAGGTATAATAACTATAGTTTTTTATATTCACTTAATACTTGAACATTTTTACCTACACATTGGTGATTTCATACCGGAATTTATCTTAGTCATCGAACATTTTTACTAGATATAATACAGTGGACATCAATTTGTATGAATACTGAGGGTTAAATCCTTTCCCCTTTCCACTAATCCACATCACTAAGTATTAAACAAAAACAATTTTTACGAATATATTATAACATTTAATTGATATTGATTATAATTTAGGTATAAACAATCCCAGAAATTATTTTCTGTGTGAGTGCCTTCGCAGGTTTATTATATTGTGTTTGGTACCACTTATTATTACAACGTAATTCATTAAAAATAATGTTACCTATGAGATGAATATATGTAATAATGTCAAAAAAAAAAATGTTCGTTCCTAACAAATGTATATATACCTCTATATGTGTGAAAATTTGTTTAAAAATATATCATACCTAATACCTACAATTGATTCAAAACAAAAATTATACATATATATAACAATTCCATTCGTATCGTCCTATACTCCTATATAAATAGCCTGAAATACTAAAGGTATACGACTATACCTACATGCTGTGCAGGAGATAGATCGCATACACACAACACCTTATATCACTATATTATATTATTAGTCCACGGTGAAACTAATGCCGAGTTGCATACCTAACCAAAAGGTTTATTTAATGGTTCACTAAAATTTAATGGACCAATCATGTGTCTATAAATCGTGTTTAAGGGACTATAATATCACTATCGATTCTTTAAATGTACCTACTGAAAACAAAATACACGCCATGCACTAAGATATTATACTATCAATTATGTACTTATATTGTAAATATTATATTAAAATACGTCATGTCGGTAGGTTAATTGTAAAGTTCAAGCTAATATATTATGTGTTGTGTGTATGATATACAATAATATAAAACAATATCATAATATACGGTAACAATAATATTGAATTCGCGTTGTTTCAGTTGCGAAGGAGCGTAGCAGACTTGAAATTGAATGATAAATACGACGACTGCTTTTTACTCAGATGGCTCGAAGGTAATAGTTTTACTTTTCAAATAATGTATAAAAGACAAGGGTACATTTTATACGTTCGGTACTTCATATTATTATATTTTACTATTAAAATGTTGAAATAATTAACAAACGATAACAGTTGTGTTTTTTCAAAGTGAATGAACTTATTTATATGTACTTACGTATAAGTTCGCTGACTTGTGTGAAACGTGCAGTAATAGTAACAATAATAATACGTGCGATTTAATAGGAGGAAAACAAATTTCGGTTTCATCGGTGAATTGAGGGCTTGCTACAAAAACCAGATAAATCCACTTTTTATCAAAAATTAGTTTTTTATGGAATAATATTCATGGAAGAAATATTTATAATTTGGAAAGAAAATAATAATGTATTATTATAATTTATTTAAAATCGTTTTATTATTTCCAAATATATCTCAAATAAAGTGTCGCATAGTGATAATGCGATAAAATTTGTATGTTTCCTTAAAATATTCAAAAGTGGATTATTGTTGTAGTCAAGCTTCATGTGTAAAGCTTTTCAAATTATCCGCATGTGCATTCTGAGGTGGATTTTGCTGTCTATATTAACATTTATATATTGTGAATAATCCTGCAGGGTTGTTCGTAAAACTGACTACATATGACAGTATTATCGACATTTTCCATTACTAATTCACATAGGTACGTGAACCATGATAATAATATCGTGAACCTGTATGGCAGTCACAGGGTTCATAAAAAGTGTCCGTTATATATAGGTATAGGCGTATAGGTGTCCCATATAGATACATGTTTAGACAGACATACTGTAATACCTATATTTTTCCGATACACACTTCCGTTTGGACAAAAATACTAATATATACGAGTATAATAATATATTATATACAGGGTGTAAAAGAAATATATGCCAGTTAAACGTATCACAACAATTGTGAATATGATATGGATAATAAATTATTTCAGAAATATACTCATGTCAGGAACTTTCAAAAATATATTTTTGAAAAAAGTTATTATATTTATTTATATGTTTATTATGGCCTTATTATAGTCGAAAAATATCTGATAAATAAATATTAAATACGTAGCAATCTTATAATATTGCGGAAGTTTGTAAAAAGGACTCTGAATGTGAGAGTACCCAGCAAGGTAATATCTGCAAAGTGCAAAGTATATGTAGTAGGTATAACACAACAAAAATCACAAACGTTGATTAAATTTACAAATAGACTTGAAAATAGGTAGCCAAAAGTTTGACTTTGATGCATTTTTACTTCTTAGTTGTTAAAGATATTCTAAAAATAATATGTGCACATTAAACTTATTTCTAAATCGACATACGCACATATCTCAACGAATCAACGGTCAGACATCTGACATTTTTTTATTTCATATTTAATAGACTTTTGAAAATAATTTTCACTAATCAATTAATCAAAAACATAAACACAATTACATTAAATAGATTGTGAAATTTTTATTTGATTAATATTACATTTATTTGATTTTGTATTTTGCAGCTCGAAATTTCGATCCAAATCTAGCAGAAGAAATGTTGAGAACAGTGAGTAGTGTACTTTTAATATAATAACAATTCAGAAATACTTTTCAGAAACCCCCAATCAAAAGTGACTGAGTGAGGACTTAACTGTTTGGTGTTTATATTCAAATAAAAAGAAATAATAATAATAATCTAATCAAATTGAGTAAATTCTCAAAATATTTAGAATACCTACCTACTAAATTGTGTGTAGGTATATGACTTTATAATATTACTATGTACTGCATGATATATAGTATCACAGAGTTTTTAAAAACACTGTTGTACAACAGTTATCTTGTTATTCGAATATATAATCATATTCTGATTTCTGAATATAATTATGTTTGCATAGTTTGAATGAATTCATTGAACATTAAAAAAATAAATAAATATTTTTCTCAAGTGCTTATATAATATAATATGGTGTATACTGTATAGTGTATATTATATTAAATTGTAGTCAATGAAATGGCGGGAAGAGTGGTCGATCAACAAAGACGACGGCTGGAAACCACCCCAAGTGCTGGTCGATTACATGCCGAGCGGTATCAGCGGATATGACAAGGAGGGATCGCCCGTGGTAGTGCTTCCGTTCGCCGGGTTCGACGTGTGTGGCCTGCTCAAGTCAGCCCCCCCGAAGGACATGGTCAGGTTCTTGGCACAAAAGCTTGACTCGTACTTAGAAGTAGCCAGGCAATCGTCACTGAAGCACGGTCCAAAAGCGTCGCAGGTGTGCTGCATCGTCGACCTGACCGACTTCAACCTTAGGCAATTCACGTGGAAACCAGGTAGATCACACTTATACCAGTATTCTCAACATATTATTTATTTGTTTTTGTATTAACGAGCAGAGAATAGTTGATATTATTACAAATTCACTCATATTAACGATTACAATTTGTGTTTAAAACCAAAAAAACCCGTTGTTTCAATATTGAATATATTATTTATAAGTAGGTTTAATGTAGGTTGTCTTTGTTAATAAAAAAATTGAATAAACCCAAAAAATCACAATTTTAAAAAAGTGTAAAATATTAGATTTTTTAGCAAAAACGTATTATAAAGTCGAAATCAAATCACCAACTCTGACGTTCCTATAGTTTAATAGTTAAATATTATATTACTCGAATACGATCAACGCAGTCGGCTCTTGGTTACCACTAGTCAAAGTTTGAATTATCGAGAATTTTGGGAATCTATGACAAACATTGAAATATAATTATATACATTACCTATAAGTGATACCTATGTGTTTTCTTATTATAAAAATTAATGCTCCCCCTCCCAAATACATTTCCGCGTACGGTACGTAAAGAAATAGGTACCTAACTATGTCACCTCACTTAATATTGTCATTTACTTTTTACTGTTTTTATATGGTTGTAACTTCGTACAGTTTAAATCATCATACTGTTCATTATTTTTGTGTTAAAACTATACCTACTCCATTTTAGACACCATAATACAACTTTAATATTATGTTCAAAGTAATAATTGTACAAGTCACTCTATTTAAAAAACAACACAACAATTAATGTCATAATTAAAAGTCAGCATTTTCTCTCGAGTACGACTACGATTTATGATCGTGATGTTTTCGTCATTTTACTTTACCCTTGATGAATATAATATATATTTTATATTAAAGTTGAACGCTCAAAACTATATTAATATTTTAAAAATTACATTGTCCAACTAAAAACCTAACTCATAAACACCACATGACCACATATTGCAATAACCATGTCACGGTAAACTTTTGGGCAACTTTCTGTAAGTGTCAAACAGGAGCTGTAATTGATCGATAGCTATCGGTACAGTTGTTGGTTTTGCGATCGTCTAGGACAATAATATGTAATATTATCTGTAGGTTGAAACACAATAGGTTTTATAATATCGTTAAAAAAATATACATACGTCATCTTCACAATATATTATTCTGATCTGTTTCTTTCCGTGCGTTAATTCACTCAAATTCTTCTCCCTGACGGCTGACGTTAACCGCTCGATGGCGAACGATAATTACGTCGCCGCGTTGAGATACACAACTACTAATATTGTATGTAAGGGAATACTAATTATATTTATAAAGAAACCTGTGAACGAAAATGTGACATTGACAATAATTTATTGTTATGATATATTATAGCGGCCGAGATGATAATCAACTTGTTACAAATGTACGAGGCCAATTACCCAGAAATATTGAAGGCATGTCACGCGATTAATGGTGTGTAGAATTTTTTATGTGCATCATTTTTCTAACCGCGGATCACTTCCCGGACAAAACCATGCACATAGTCGTATATATATATATGTATAATATATATATTTGTTACGGTTTTCAGCTCCCAAAGTGTTCACTTTTGCGTTCAACATACTTAAAAACATACTTACTGGCAACACGATGAGCAAGTTCATAATATATAAGGCAGACCCGAACAAGTGGAAGCCTGTATTGGCCAGATCCATCGACAGCGACCAGTATCCAGCGTTTTTGGGTGGCGATCTGAGGGACCCTGACGGCGACCCCAGATACATCACCAAGGCAAGCCGGAACACGCCGAAAAAATATTTTATAAACGTTTATATAAATTTTACCGAAAAATCGAGTTGCGTACAGACATGCTGTTTACCTAATACCTGTACTTACGCCACCGTTGATCTTTCGCACCCAAACCTAACCTAACCTAACCGACAACTTTCAAGGCTCGCGAGTAGAAAATGATTATCCGATTTTTTTGTTTCTATAATTACCTTCAGTTTTGTTTTGATAGCGCTCTGCGGAAACGTGCAATGATTTTTTTTTTGCTTTTTATGACCATAACCATAAAAAAAAAAAACCTAATAACATATCATAATATAATGGCTTAATACGCGTTTCATAAACGTTCACGAGTCGTCTATCCGACTCGCACGTCGTCCAAACGGATCATAATATTTACGTATATCATGCATGACCGTAAATGATGTATAATATGCGCGTTGTGAATAGTCCGCCTCCGCGGTCATTTGTATTCGATCCTTTTACTTTAATGCTACCGACGTAGGATATTCGCGCAAGTAACTATCGTTAAAATACGAAAAGCGTAGGTAGGTATATAGTATTCCACAAGAACGATCGACTCTGCCGGTGTCCCGTCATTGTAAGCATATAATATTAAATTAACTTGGAGTCTTGGACGCTATACCTACTATTATTAGTTATGTATACCTACCTATTACTTATTAGTTATTACTTATTACCTGGATACTATTTCGCTGGTAAGCTATCACTGCACTTGTGATTACGTTTATAATATCATGAGTGTAATGCTATAATACTTAGGTATATACATTATACAACATACCATGGCAGTTAATATCGATATAGGTACTGCATAATACACCTATACGTCATAATAATATAATATATACTTGTATACAACTGATATTGAAAACAATTGCGATCGGAAATATAATTTTTTTTTATTGAATGGTTTATTTTTAATTTTGGTACTACAAATACATATAAAACGTAAATATAATAAGGAGATAAAGAATATATCTACTCCTAGGCTTGTGGTGGAGTAGAGAGTTATCAGGAAACTTAAAAAATAAATTTAAGATAAATTAAATTAAATACAGTTGATAAAAAGGAACAGTTACAACATAACTAAATACCTAAACCTACTTAAGAACTAAAAACACATTTACAATTAATATAACAATAACAAACGGACCGTCATCGACACACGCCAACGCATTAGAGCCTATTTTTTTAGTATATTTTTAAAACCACAACCACCACAAAATTTCAAATACAATCTATAGCCATTTCCATAGTGCTTTGTTTATAAATTTGTATAATACCTAGACGTCCTAGACACTTAATTAAGATGATTTATTTTCGTTTAAATTCCGAACGGGTATGAGTTTATATCTACAATAATATTATGAATACTATATAACGTGTATAATATAGAGTTTATACACGGTACCATCAACGTATACACATTTTATCTTATAGGTACTATACGAGTCAAACATGGTTTAATATTTAACAATCATTTATGATATATCGAATATCAATATTAATATACATTATATTATTGTTTGAACATTCTATTTTTTCGTCATTAACTAATCTCAGTGTGTTATTATATTACTATAGATAAATCAAGGAGGAAAAGTTCCAAAAGAATTATACTTAAAAAATGACAAAAAGCTTACAAATTCTGATGACATGACCTTAGTAAATATAAAGAAAGGCGATAAACTATACTTGAAATATACAGTAACTGTACCACAAAGTTTTCTGAGGTAAATTTTACAATATCAATATAATTTTTTAATTATTCAATTGGCAAAATATTCAATATTATATAAAGTAAAAAGTTAAAAAAAATACACTCATTAATATTATTAATGTTTATAAAGTTATATACATTTATTATTTATGAAATATAATGATTTACATAGAAAAATATATTTTAGCCAGATCAAAACTAAAAAATATTCATAAACGGAAGTTTGAATTTAGTTGAATTTTTTTTTTATAAATGTGTAACGTATAACTGTTGTACATAAGGTGGCAATTCAAAACCGAGGGACATGATATTAAATTCGGTATATTAGCGACAGATTCAGAAAATATACAAACAATAATTATGCCGATAAAGAAAGTCGCATGCCACGAGTTTGAAGAGATCGGAGTAATCAAATGCAAACATACCGGAGAATGTAATTTGTTTTTTCATTACTTATCTATATTATTATAAAAATATTATATTGAAGCTAATAAGTTATTTTCACACAAAACACATAAATAATTATATATTTAATATACTGAATGATTAATGATTATATTTCGACAGAAAACATTCATTATTTCAAGGAGTATTTTTTGTAAAATTAAAAATACGTGTAAATGTGTAGTTCTAGTATATTTTCATTCAGGCCTTATTTTTCTATAAAATAACTTTTAGTTTTTAAGGCGGTTTTTAGTGGCTGTTATTTAAGGGGAATAATTTAGGCAATATCTTGTCGTCGCCGCTAGTAATCTTTGTGTTAGTGGCAAATGAGTAATGATTATTAGTGTGAGTGCGATTCTTATGTGTAAAATATAAAACTAGAATTTTGAAGAAATTCGAACTCGATAACAATAGATTTCAATTTTGAAAAATAATTAGAATTCGTTAGCCTCTTTTGTAAGATTTGTAGGAAACAGATTTTGAACATTTGAACATTTTGGATAGTGTAATTATTACGGTTCCAAATAACTTTACTTAATTTCTCAAAATTAACTTACACTTTAAAGTGGTAACAAGACAAAAATATGAAAAAAATGTTCCTACAAAACATAGAAAAGGCTAATGAATAGGAATTAGTATTCAAAATTAAAATTGGACTACTAAAATAATGTTTGTTTTTCGCCAGCTTAAATGGTCTAAATGCATGAAAAATCCAATCGCTTGGAGCCGCCTTAAATGAGAACAAATATTGTTGAATTTTAATGATCTGAAGCAAAATACTCTTATGTGATAGTTGTATGAATAGATCTGCATATAATATATCGAATGTTTAATGAATAGTTTTTATTATTTTATATTTTCTTGATTACGGTTTTAAGTTTAAACTTTATATGTTCGATATCATTATTTATACAGAAAAATGTTTGTAAGTTAATATAGAATTATTCGCTTTTGATATTAAAGCAAATAATAATAACCCTAGATGTACCTATATATGCGTCTCGAAATCGCTAACATAATGTATAATTGTCGAATGATTTGTGTTCCAACAGATACCGTGGTATTCGACAACAGCTACAGTTTCATGCGTGGCAAAAAACTTGCATACAACGTTCGAATTACATTGCCTGTAAAAGAAAAAACCATCAGTACGATCGATCAGATGGTGAATATGGAAGAATAAGTTAACTACACATAAGATCGGTATAAAAGTATAACATAGCGTTTAATGACTATGTAATATTAACAGCAATTATAATTATATATTATATTATACGTCAGAAAAACCGTTAAAAATGTTAATCAAATTTTATATATATTTAACTAAAATTTAAAACTGTTTAGGTATACCTAATGCCTAAAACAGTAATACATATTACACCAGATATACACGCTCGTAAAATATCTAAAATAAATTAATATTTGTCGTTTATGTATGCTATACCATGATCAACTTACGACAGTTCAACAGTAATATAGGATGGTCATGCTGACGATAAATAATAATAAACACGATTATTGTTAAACTATAATTAATTTTTTCCAATAGTAACACCACTCGCCACTACATCCGCAAATCAAAAGTTCTTTAGATAGTATGTTTAGGTTTTTTTATTCTAATATATACGATAGCGTTTGAGGTATAGAAATTGTTTTATTATGTTTAAGACGCGTAAAAAACCGTTAATAATTTGTAAATATTTAAATGTTTTATCCTACATTAATTCACATGTTTTTTATTATAAATGTATCAATAGTAATATTTTCAAAAGCAACGTTGATATTTTTTCTTCGATGCCGATATGTTGTCCTCCTATTGGAAAATATTTGAAATAATACATTTGTCTTTCCGCGTTAAACTATGTTATACATAGGTATGTATAGTATTCACAATAATTAGAAACATAAAATAAAGGCCAATAACTCAAACATATACCTACCAATTATAGATAGATAGATAGATAGATAGATAGATAGATAAGACGAGAGTGCGTAAGTTGTTAATATCAGGATGTCTATAATACGAGTCTAGTGTTAACCATTTTTTGTTATTGATGTAAGTATAATGATGTTGAAATTATTTTTCCAAAATCGATATTCTATTGTTTTTTTTTTTTTTTTTTTGAGAAAATATTTTATTAAATTATTATGTACTTAGTAGGCATTCGTTTTCTGAATTGTTTTTTTGTATCTATATAGTACGTATAATAATACAAACCATAATATATTATTATTATTCTTAATTTGTATCTACTTCAGTGTTATATAAATGTTTTAATGATACATTATTATTGTATATTAACCTACAATTATTATAATAAACTATTTTTTTAAGATCTGCAAATTTTTATGCTCTGTAAGTCATAAATAAATGCCCAAATGTGTATGATATTGCTATATACAATATACACCAGACAAGTGACTACATTTTATTAGACTGTATGTCTGCATGTTAAAAATCAATGATTTTCAGTGACGCCGAACACGGTATAAAGGTGTAACAGTGGTCACACCTTTTTAAGGGGTGGGTCGTGAGTGGTTAGGTGGTATCATACTTCATTACATTGCTACCATTAGGTATGTCACCTATGCAATAAAAAAACAGTAATACTTAATAGTTTATTAACATTGTATAAAATTGTATAGCACTATAGCTAATAAAGTAATTAATAGTAGTGTTTATAAAGTGTTAATAATAGTAGCCACCAAATTAAGATACCTTGAATAATATACTATATACTATGAAAATAAACTGTGCTTATTTATTTTTAGATTTTTTGGTAACAGAATAAACTACTTACGTGGAATCTTGTTTTAAATTTTCAATCCTTAGATATAAAAGTTGAACATTTTATACATTTTTAACTACAAAATAATTATTCAATTTTAAATTTGATCAATTTTGTCAAAATTCAAACTTTAATTCTTATAAAAAAAAAAAGTGTCAATGTATTTTTAATATTTCTCAACTGCTATTGTAACAATATATCAGGAGCCTCGTATTACATTTTTACACTTTTTGGCCCAATAGATAAAACTTAATTGATATTCATAGAAAAAAAAAAAAAATTGAAATATGAAATTGTGCCCGTAAACAGCTCAAAACAAATCAAAATATTTTGAAAATTTTATCAAGGATAAGAATTGATAAAATAAACATACAGTGAAATTGTCATGTACATACATTTATTCGTTTTTGAATAACAACAAAATAAGAAAATCGCTCCATGAGAAATCGAGTGAATATCCAATGTTTTAAAAATGTGAATTGCAAATGCTCATAAAAATTTAATTTGACTTTCTCATAGACATTTTTTTTTTTTTTTTTGATAAAGGTAGATAATCTTATAAGGAATCTTGTATTACATTTTAAAATCTTAGATTTAAAAAGAAAAATTTTTACGAATTCTTAATTCAAAAAAATTTTGCTAATTTTCGTGATTTTTCCATATTTTGTCAATTTTTGAACTTTAAATGCTTATAAAAAAAACCGTGACTAAGGATTTTTAATATTTTTCATCTGCCTTTGAAAAAATATACTATAGGAGAATTTTATTAAATTTTCAAGCTTTTTTAACCAACAAATAAAGTTTTATTGACATTCATAGAAAAAAAAACTAATACAATTTTAAACTAAAAATGTCCCTAAACAGTTCAGAACAAATCAAAATATTTTGAAAATTTGAAAATTTGATCATGTATAGAAAATGGAAATATAAACAACCAGTGAAAATTTCATATGTCTATGGTCATTTGTTTTAAAGTTACACCAAAAACCAAAATCGATTTTGTAAAAAATACCTAACCTAACCTCGCCAAGCACCAACAATATTCACTTTCCCATCGAACAAGATACTGAAGTTGAAATTCGAAGCATTATTTCGACTACTTATCGTCTACATAGACACACACAAAATAAAATTGATTATTTACAATGGTTTGCATTATAGAAAATAAATAAAATCTATATTCTTTATATTATATTACATATTATATTAAATTTTTTATAAATTACATTTCCTGTAACTATTTTTACATATTATTATGATAATAGTACCAACGTTATATTTTTTTTAAATATTTCTTAGTCTAATTTTTAATACGTAGGTACAACACATCTGTAAGGTATAATATATAGGTAATCTATATCTCCATTCTATGAGCTCATTTGACTAATTATTGAAGATAATACGAACAATGATGAAAGTTCGCTTCAAACATAATAGGCATATTGTGTCTCAAACACGTTTGTCATTCTTATGAATTTCTATAATAATATGTAGGTATCATAATTAAATTTAATAATATATATTACCACAATACCACACGGATGCGCCATGGCTCTCGACAGTTTTACGATGGTATTTTAAGTAGAAATACGGTTTTTACCACACCATGACAAAACCAAAATGTTGTCAGATAAAATTATCAGATAGCAATTTACCAACAGTATTTATCGAAAAATGTTGTTTTCTCTTTGGTTGAAACGAACTAATCGATGAAAACATATGAGTTACCTATAAAACTATCTATATGAAATACTCACTATAGCAACGCCGACTCGCTATATTTATTTAAATCCTAAATACATTGTAAAACCATATTTCAAAATAGTATACTGCCATGAACCAGATACATAATTTCCAAAAAACCAATATCTTATTAGGATTTCATAAATGTATTTACTGTAGTAAAATAAATATGTTTAAACCCATCTATAGATGCATAGACTGTGACGAATATTGCCATCGGATATGCTACAAAGAAAATATTATCAACCCAGCTGAAAATAACTGTAATGTAATGATGGGTATAATTAAAAAAAACACAAACCAGGACATAGATAAAAGCGTCGATGATGAAGATCGGTTAATAATGACTAAACACTGCAGCAAGGAGACAGCCATCGGAGGATTTGTACAACCAGTAACCGTCGTGTACCCATCTTTTATACAAAAGCGATGTACAATAAATCGTGTCCTTGAAGCACTACACAAATTATTTCCAGAAGTAATGTACCCACCATACAATGGCTTTTTTTTTGGAAATTCAAACAATACAATTATACATTAAAAAGAGGACATCAACGAAAATAAATAAATAATCAAACAAACGGTACCCATAGGTAGGTAATTAAAAGTTTTATATTCTTATGTCAAAATTCCTGTAAAATACGCCATTAGTAATATTGAATCAACAATTCCAAATTACAGCATTCACCACGATTCAAAATATTATTCAAATATTGACGTTTTTGATTCGGAAAGATACTCTACGGAAGAAAAAGTAAATCGACCCAGTGGCATTAATATTTCGGCGATGCACCTAGATTTTTTGGCTATAAATTGTTTTACGTAGAAAGAAATTTAATTTTTGAATGATTAAAATGTTGATTTGCAGGAAAACGTTATGCTAAAATAAAATTACAATTAGATTAATCTGAAATAATCTCTAAATTTTAAGTTTTATCGTGTAAACAAAATGAAAATCCATTTCAATTGGCAAATTATATAGTGCATCAAACCGAAGAATGGAGTTTGGTTGAGTAAAGAGTTTGAAACCAACTATATTGATAATTAATCAACGATTCACTGAATATATATTTTAGATTCTGAGTGAAACGATAAATGTATTGATTTTACAATGTTGTGTGTTTTTTTTTTATTTATTTTTTTTTTTGTGCGTGTCTGTCATCACCTTTTAGAACAGTAAAAGTGCTTGGATTTTCTTCAACATTATCTTTTCTGATAGGAAAGTGAATCTAGTTGGTACTTTGGGGGGTCGAAATGAAAAATTTCCCCGTATTTTTCAAAAGCGCCTTGAAAAACACAAGAAAAATTAAGGAAAAACGGTAATTTTTACGCAAAATCTGTTTTCGAGAAAATCGATTTTGGTTTTTGGTACAACTCTTAAACAAATGATCATACATGAAATTTTGATTGAATGTTTATATAAGCATTTTCTACACACCATAACATTTTCCAATTATTTTGACTTATTTTGAGCTCTTTACGGACATTTTCTGTTTCCATTTTTTTTTGTTATTTTTTCTATAAATATCAATAAAATTGTATTTGTTGGGTACAAAAGCTTTAAAATTTAATAGAAGGCTCCTAATATATTGTTTCAAACACAGATCAAAAATATTAGCCAGAGTCACAATTTTTTTTTATAAGCATTTAAAGTTCAAATATTGACAAAATTTTTCAAATTTAAAATTGAATAATTATTTTGTAGTTAAAAATGTCTAAAATGTTCAACTTTTATATCTAAAAAATAAAAATTTAAAATTTAAAACAAGATTCCATATATGTATTTAATTCTGTGACCTAAAAATTTAAAAAAAAATACATAACTACATAAGCACAGTTTATTCTTATAGTCATTTTAAGTTCAAATTTGGACGAAATTACATATTAAAAAACCTAGAATAACTATTTTAGTCATTTTGTTGTAATTGTATAATATATTTTGTTTGTAATTGAAACTTCTAAAGTATACTATTATATATCTATTAAAGTATCACGGATTGCTGTTGATGTATAACAAGTTATAAGTACCTATAGGCTATTGTGATATCTATGATTAATTAGGAATTTATTACATAGGTCAATTTTTTTTTTTAATACCATATATACGTATGTTATATATCTTATACCTAGACTGATACACCTTCTCCGCTCAGAATCGTTTTTCTTATACAATTATGATATTATATCATTGAATTCAAATTGAATACCATCCATTATACAGTGACCCACTTGTAACCTACTGTCCAGTAGAGCACCTTTTTGAAAGTAGATTTACTTCTATTTTAATGATATAAATTAATGTTTAATGATTACTAATATAGCTTTTTACAGTAGTGGGAGGCGGGGCCGAACCGTACTATTAACTTCTAGGCATTGTAGAAATTACAAAATTTGAAAAATTTGAAATTGAATTACGTAAATATATCACAAATATTGTTAGCTACAATAATATTGAAGCATTTTCAAAAAATCTTAACTTGAACTCCAAAAAAATTCCAAATTTTGTAAGTACCTAAAAATACGATTTTGCCTGATAGGAGGGCTAAAACCGTATTAGTCTTGGGGCAAACCAGTATAGATGGTTTTATGATGTCAAGGGTGGAACTAATCTACCAAAACTTAAAGGGGGTAGGGGTTATCACTTCAGGGTCTGGTAAAAGAGGGGATTTGGATGAGTTCATACAATCATACCTAAACTATAGCTTACATACAACGGTGGGGGCAACATTTAAATAACATAATGGGTGAACTAACCACCTCCCCTTAAAGGGGTGATACTCCCCTTAATACCAAATAGTGTCTCGGTATATTTCAGATTCCAATATTTTTGAAGCTTGTTTCCGTGAAATTCTAATATCACCATACAAACATTTAATACGGTTTTGCCCCACAGTAGGTGGCTTCAAATTAACAGCAATTATCTAAAAAGTATAATCTAAATTCCTCCAAATTATATCATTAAATAATCTGTATTTTATTTTTTTCACATCAAACAAATACAAGTAGAATGGAAACCTAATAGAATCCTCTCGTATGGACTGACCCCGCCTTCCCCTACCTAGGTTAGATTTATTAGACATATTTTGATATGTATGTCTATATGTCATATGTACATTTATTTTTATTAAATCAATAAATGCAAATCGTTATTATATTTAACTTAACGTATTATTGATTTCAAAATTGAGGAAAACTTTTAAGGTACCTACTGAAATTCAAACGTTGTGAAAATGAACACGAGACGTGATGATAAAGACGCCGTTCCTGATGATCTTACGTTTCATTAATTAATATTGTTTACTTATAAATTATCAATAAAAAAACCTAAGCATAAAATATTTTGTTAAAAATAGGTGATGTGCATCGATATTTAGATTGTATTTATTTTAGATTTTTTAGTCCAGTAAGTATATAATTATATTATTTTACGAAATGCGATCAATAATGTAATAATATTTTAACCAGCTCCTTAAACACTAACAGCATCGTGTCTGCAAGTGCATTTTTTGTCATTTATTGTCATTATTTATTATTTTTTTAATTTATTATTCATTAACGGGCTTGGTGCTCTGCAATGGAACATCATATTATATAATATCATTTTATGATAACAATACTTAAGTAAACAATTAAATACAAACATTAAGTAGGTAACCAAAAACAAATAGTATAATTCATTAAAACAAAAGGTGGGTAAGTTTATGTCGCTCTGCTGTACAGTAGCCAGTAGGTTACAAGTGGGTCACTGTATAATGGATGATTTAAATTTGAATTCAATGATACAATATCATTGTATAAGAAAAACGATTCTGAGCGAAGACGGTATGTCAGTCTAGGTTTAAGACAAATTATATACATATCTATGGTATTAAAAAAAAATTGACCTATAATAAATTCCAAATTAATCATATCACATTATCACAATATCCATTAGGTACTTATAACACGTTATACATCAACATCAATAACAAACCCTGATACTATCATAGATATATAATAGTACACTTTAGAAGTTTCAAGTAGGTACCCACGAATAATATTATATAATCACAACAAAATAACTAGGTTTTTTAATATGTAATTTCGTCCAAATTTGAACATAAAATGACTATAAAAATAAACTGTGTTTGTATATTTTTTAGATTTTTCGGTAAGAGAATTAACTACTTACGTGGAATCTTGTTTTAAATTTTCAATCCTTAGCTATAAAAACTGAACATTTTATAATTTATTAATTACGATGATTAATAATTTTCGAGATTTTGAAAAATTCTGTCAAAATTCGATGTTTAAATGCTTATAAAAAAAAATTGTGCCTATGTATTTTTAATATTTTTGAACTGATATTGTAACAATATGTCAGGAGCCTTGTATTAAATTTTTACACTTTTTGGCCCAACAGATAAAACTTTATTGATATTCATAGAAAAAAAAACTAAAAAAATTGAAAAATGAAAATGTCCATAAACAGCTCAAAAAGAGTCAAAATATTTTCAAAATTGTATGGTGTATAGGAAATGCTAATATAAACATTCAGTGAAATTTTCATTTATCTACAGTTATTCGTTTTTGAATTACAACAAAATAAGGAAATCGCTACATGAGAAATCGAGTGAATAACCAATGTTGTAAAAATTTGAATTTCAAACGCTCATAAAAATTTAATTTAACTGTCCGGTAGAGATTTTTTTATTGATACAGGTAGACAAACTTATGAGTAATCTTGTATTACATTTTCAAATCTTAGATTTAAAAGGAAAAATTTTTACGAATTCTTAACTCAAAATAATTTGCTAATTTTCGTGATTTTTCCATATTTTGTCAATTTTTTAACTTTAAATGCTTATAAAAAAAAATTGTGACTAAGGATTTTTAATATTTTTCATCTGCCTTTGAAACAATATATTAGGAGCCTTCTATTAAATTTTCAAGCTTTCGCAACCAACAAATAAAATTTTATTGATATTTCTAGAAAAAAAACTAAAAAAAAACTAAAAATGAAAATGTCCCTAAACAGTTCAAAATAAATCAAATTATTTTGAAAATGTTATCGTGTATAGAAAATGCAAATATAAACAACCAGTGAAAATTTCATGTATATACGTTCATTTGTTTTAGAGTTACACCAATAACCAAAATCGATTTTTTGGAAAATCTATTTTGCGTAAAAATTCCCGTTTTTCCTTAATTTTTATGTTGTTTTTCCCGGCGCTTGTGAAAACTACTGGGAAATTTAAATTTTGACCTCCTCAATGCACCAACGATATTCACTTTCCAATCGAACAAGATATTGAAGTCGAAAATCGAAGCATTATTTCGACTACTTATCGTGTACACAGATACAAAAAAAATAAAAAAATAAAAAAACACACATCATTGTAAAATCAATACATTCATCGTTTCACTCAGAATCTAAAAGGAATAAAATGGTAGTAAAACAAATATAAACAATTTAAGAAAAGCTGAGATACTCATTAGTCATTACCCATATGCATTATGTTATATCTTTTATATTAGGTATTATGTAGGTAATAGTGTGGT